AATGTTCCCCAGCTGCCATGTGTACTTGCAGTAAATACCACACAACTGCAGGTATGCCCAGAGCTACTGATCAGAAGACAAAGAGGAAGGGAAATGGAAACTGGAAACCACTGATTGTGCAAGGACCTACAGTATCCAGGCAATCCAAAAGGCAAGGATCTATAATATCCAGGCAATCCAAAAGGCAGGCCTTGACAGGTTGATTCGTTTTTGCTTCCCACACGTTTCCACCACAGAAGCCCTCCACAAAGTCTGAAACTATATCTGTTTCCAATGATGACAGTGGTTCAGCCCACAGACCTGCACAGAGTTCACAAGCAATCATGTTTTGTGTTGAGGACGTAGGATAAGAGATGTGGAGAAGCATTTCCGTGGGGCCTGAGTGGTATAAATCATAAGCAGAGAAAACCTTTTAAAGCAGAGGCCCAAGGCAGGGTCCTCTCTTGCCTGGGTCAGGGCAGTACTGATTTAACTCATCTGTGTTTTGATCATTAAACAGGGTAGTATATCTAAAGAACTTAGAACAGCACTACACAATGGTATTATGAGTGATGATTACTTCCTTCTGAATACATTCCTGTATTCTCCCAAATTTCTACAATGATATAATACTTTATTTTCCAATAAATCTCTTGGAAAAATATTCCTAAATAAGAATAGGGAAATTCAATGATAGAGTAATACATTATTTTACAAATAATAATGAATATGAGGTGATGGATGTGTTAACTAACCTTAGTGTGGTAATCATTTCACAATTATATACATGTATCAAATCATCATCTCATACACCTTAAACTTATACAGTGTTATATGTCAATAATATCCCAATAAAGCTGGGGAAAAATTTTTTTAAATAATAATGACATTCCGAATCAATGAACAAAACTCAAAACAGCGCTTAGAATAAACATACTTTGAGCATATAGCAATAAAAATAAAAAGGAAATTGCATACACATATAAAATATAAATCAATTTTATTTATGAATGTATAGATGTATATAATTATAATAAAAATTACCAAATAGTGAAAAGAAATACATTAAAAGAACATATGTCATAACAGAGTTACTCAGAATTTAAGGAGGTTTTAATATAGTAAAACCAGTAACATAATCATGTTAGGTGGTTAAATAATAAAAATTATATGATTATACAAAGATACCAATTCTTACTAAAAGCTTCCAACAATAAATGTTTTTTCCCTTATTAAATAGAGCACATTTGTTTTAAAGCCAACAATAAACTTCATATGTAATGAAGAAACATCAAAATTTAGATTTTAACACAATTTTATTTAACACAAAGCAAAACAGAAATACATAAGAAAAGACAAATATGTCTTTTTTGCAGCTATGGTTTTACATTTGGAAGAAACAAAAAGGCCACCTAACACTGGTAGAACAAAGATAATTCAACAAAAGACATTTAAAAAATTAATAGCATTCTAATGACAGAGATTCCCATACTGAGTAGCAATACAGATGTATTTAGCTAAGAAAAAATTAATGTAATAAGGGATATATAAGGCCTAGATAAAACCAAGAACAAATTATCACAAGAGAAATCAAGGAACCCATCAGTAAGGAAGCGACTTAATTCCTTGATGGGAGGAATTAGTGTCATAAGCATAAGTCTTAAACAGTTCATTTTAGACCTTGATGATTCCAAATGAAGCACCAAAAAGATGTTTACCTTAAATAACACATTCCTTAGGGGAAAAAAGACTTTTTGAAAATTAAAAATATATATGTGGGGGCAAAAAAGAACAACGAAGACCAGTATCATACTGATTCCATGGATTCAAACACAGAGTTTGATTCATTACATGACAAAAAATACTTCTTCACTGCGAAGTGTCCAAAAAGAAGAAATTACGGTTTTGTTTTGGCTCAAAGCTAGGGAGTAAAAGCAGAAAGCCTGGCAAAGCAAGTGCTACGCGAGAACTTTGAGAATGCTAAGAGAACGGCCTCTCTTGGGGTCAGGAAAGACTAACTAGCATTTTAAAGAATCCGGTTTTGCCAGGTTTCAAGGCAGGAAGAGGGAAGGATTGGCACTTAACAGGAACATCCTTTACAAACAGAGAGTCATAAAATAAAATGGCACATTCCAAAAATTACAAGTAGGTCAGTACACACAATATTGGTCTGCATTTTCAAAACTCAGTCAAAGCCCAATATTTAAAAACCTGAAAATGTATCATAAAATCTGGATCTGGCTTCTTTCGACTAGTTGGACAACATGACGGCCTGGGTCTGCACGCCCACACGGGTATGAGAGGCAGGTGCCCCCTCAGATGGGCAACTTGCTACGACACGTCCTCTCTCCCCCCATTTCTCTTACAGCCAGCTCACATCATCCATTTAGGTCACCTGTCTCATCCAAGAAGGCATTTGAGTTTATGACTCCTACCTTGCATTGTGGGGACCAATGAAGGTTATGGCAAAAGATAGCATGTGATTAGATCTGCATTTCAAAAGCCCAACTGGGCACAGGGTGGAAGGCTTGGGGATGGTGGGGTGGGTAGAAGGTGGTAAGGAGACCAATGAAATCCACAAAAGCCTGTTGTATGAAAAATTAAAATGGGACTGCCATCACTGAAGGAAAGCAGGGGGCCACCTCGCACCTTCTATATAAATACTCTCACAAGACAGAACCGGAAAACCAAGGAGTCCTACATCTGTGGCATAAGAGCAAGAGCTGATGAGGATTGGAAACAAGGCTGTGTGTAGGGGATGGAAAGAAAGGGGCAGAGGAGGACAAAAACTTGAGAGTTCTGAAGGGAAACTAATCTCCAACGCTGGGTAACCAGTCTGACATAAGGAACCAGGAGAAAGACGATATGGGGACAATTTGTAGGGTTTTGCTTTAAGTTGGTAGTTTGTTGATACTCCAAAAATAAAGAAACCAAAGAAGGGACGAGTCTATAGGAAAGTTAATATTTAACCTAGGTTATGTTGAATTTGTGGGGCCTATGGATGTGCACCTTCCCTCATACGCCCTGATAAATGACCAAAGAAAAATCATCTCCAATTCTCCTGTAGTAACTTTCCAACAGCTGAATCATGAGCTGGAAATGAGGGTCAAGTATAATTATATAAAATATCTTTACAGAATGAATACTAACAGAACTAAGCTTTAAAGGGAATATTATACATTCCCTATGTATTTACTGTACGTAAAATATTGTAACAGAGATTACAGAGGGCTAATAACTGCACATAAAAGCATAATTAGAAGATGTATAAAAAAAACACAATACTGTAAAAGTCCACCAAGTCTCTTAATAGACAGGATATACATTTATACCCTACACTTTCCATTAAGAATTTAAGATGGCTAAAAAAATTTAATGAAAAATTAAAAAAGAATTTTAGATGGCTTATAGCAAAAATACACATAGTGAAAGGATAAAATGTAAATAATAATAATAAAATGTAAAAATAATTTTGTAAAAAAAATAGCAGCAGGAAAAATCAGAACTAGGAAGAAGGAAACAAGGTATGCAGAACAGAAGGGCTTTCAGAAATACTGCTGTGGACAACCAAAGTGAAAAGATTAACCGCATGACTCTTATTGTCCATGAGGAGAAAACACAGCAATTTCTCACTCTGAAAAGGATGTTTCTGCACACCTTCCCCAATAGAGAAGACAGCATTTCATGATAAAACATGCTTCTAAACTAAATTAATTCAGCTTTATGAAAAACTCACTACCCTTGTCCCTATTTCTCAAAGGTGTTACCGCAGGAAAGTTAAACTTAAAAACAAACCAACAAAACTTTACACACTGACATTTGGGGATATCACAACAGGAAACCCAGAAAAAGATCTCATGATGGTGCTTCTCTGTACCCCTCAATGAAAACAAAGAACCAAACATCTGAGCTTAACTGGATGAAGGAAGCTGGCCGGGGTGGAGAAGGGAGATAAAGGCAATGGGAAATGGGTGAGGTACATAGGTTTCTGATGGTCTCTCCTGATCCACAGAAAGAACGGATACGACGTCGAGGAACAGAGGAACAACATACTGTTTAAACGGTAGCAATGCAGCTTTGGCAAAGAAATGTAATAAAAAACGAAGAGTGGACAGAGTGAGGTAGAGATCTTTGGTGAGCACTCAAAAGTTATAAAGCTATGGTACTGGCTGAGGACGGATCCACAGAGGTGGGTATCATATGAGCACGGTACAAGCGATATCCTCTCGTGAAAATCGAGGAACCTCATCGAAAGCCATGCCATATCAGCACAGAGGAGGGCCCCAGGAACTGAAGGGCAAACACGAAACGCACCGTATAAGACATACAGAAAACACACACAGGAAAATACTCACTTGCATATACTTAAAGAAACGCAAACCAAAAAGACAGTATCCTTTAGCACCTACAAGCCTAAGCAAAAGAAGAAATTTAAAAATTCAGTATGGTAAGGATTTTAAGAGTCCTATTCAAAATTTGTGAGAAAGAATTGAAATATCCCAGAATAAGGGAAACAGTGAAGTAAGCGATCATCTGTTAGTGTATCCGTGCATTCAAATGATTATACGTGATAAAATGCGAATAGGGAAAGGTGCTTATGAAACTTTAAGAAAAAACAAGAGTACAAAGCGTACGTATTCTAGAACTACCACTATGTAAACTGTGTATATGGGCGCATAGGAAAAACCCTGGGTGGGTCACAGAGCAAGTCAGCAGAACCCACTCCTTTTGGAGCTCCCGCCGGCCTGGGGAAAGCTCTTGGGGACTTCGGGCAGGATGGGCCATCTTCACGGTGCACGCTGGACCGACCCCAACCATACTCACGTCCTATCCTCTCTGCCTGCTCAGTGTCCAACCACATCCCCGACCACCGTCCTCTTTGATTTTACAACTTGTGAGGTAGGTACTACTACGACCGTGACTGGAAAATGATGAAATGAATGAGCTTACAAATTAAGCTCAACAGAAGCTTTGTTTTCAGACCTTCTAGTTGGACACGCTTCTTCTTTCACTGACGCCCTTTAAGGTTTACCTGCATGTGGTTTCTTGGCTGACTGAGCGGGGCCGGGTACCAGAGGGCTGGCCTCTGGAGCGCCGGCTACGTGTACTCCTGGTTCCTCAAGGCCCTGGGAACACTCAGCAGAAGCTGAATTCCCTAAAAAGAAGACGAAGAGATGAGCTTTCCTGGGACACCTCTTTTATCGCTCTCCATTTCATTTTGTGTTGGGAGCATCGGCCCAGCAGATCAGATCCCAGCCAAAAGTCCCAACACTGCTCTGGATTTGGAGAGTTTGTGTTTTCTAGATTTATTTCACACACACACACACACACACACACACACACACACACACACACACAAGTTCATAGTTAGGAGAGACCCACTAAACAAGACCAGATGAGGGTGATGACAGGCCCTGTACCTGGCCTAGAAGATTCCCGCCATCATTCAGGCTTCCCTAGACAGCCTCCAACACTACCTTCAAACCACCCGCTCAGGAAGTCAGCCACGACCATCCCAACAGAAGAAAACTCCGTATCAAGAAGCACCTGGGTGGCCCAGTCTGCTAAGCAGCCATCAGCATGGAGCCCATTTCAGATCCTCTGTTCCCCTCTCTTTCTGCCCCTCCCCCCCACCTCTCTCTCTCAAAAATAAATAAGCATTTCAAAAGAAGAAGGAAAAGAAAAGAAAACTCCGTATCAATAGTTTGGAGACTCTGACTTTGCTGGTTTGGTTTTCCCAAATTTGGCAATTCTCCTAAGCCTACCACCCACTGAAACTGATTTTCAGCTATAAACAAATCGAATAGAGTAAGCAACCTGAATGCACTGTAGTTAAAAGTACACCAAACCACACTTTGTAGACCCATTTTTTAATGGTAGACTATGCAGCAACGTGGGAAAATATTTATGATTCTTGATAAAGTGAAAATTTAAGATACTAATGCATACTTCGAGCACAACTAGACTGGAATTTGTATAGTAACAGGAGGGACGGCCCTGCAAAATAAATGGTAACCATCATTGTGGATAGAGTGAGTGGAATCATGCAATTTATATCTCTACTCTCTACTTTCTAAATTTTTATGTAATATGGTTAAAATTTCTTAATAACCAAAAAGAGCATACTTTCTTAAAAGTTCTCATCACAGGAAAACAAACTTGGTAACTATGTATGATGACAGATGTTACCTACACTTAACTGCGATCATTTCTGCTGTGTATACAAATATCGAAATATGTACCTCTGAAACTAATACAACGTTGTATGTTTACTACCTCAGCAAAAGTAAAGAAAGAAAAAGAAAACACTTTAATTCAAATTTAATAAAGAAATCCATTCCTGTGTTTTCTTTCCCTTTCTAGGCCCCTGGCCCACCTCCTTCCTCTTTCTTCCTAACAAAGCTGTGAGGACAGTTGTACCTACTTCCTGGCCCCCAGCTTAGTGAGGAGGTACACTGCTCAAACCCTTGGGCAGATGTTATTAGCCGGCGGCGCAGAAAGTAAACTCTATCCCTTCCTTCCTTTTAGAACCACAGTTCTAGGGGCACCTGGGTGGCTCAGACGGTTAAGCGTCCAATTCTTGGTTTCAGCTCAGGTCATGATCTCAAGGTTTAGTGACTTGGAGCCCCGCATCGGGCTCTGTGCTGACAGCGCATGCTTAGGATTCTCTCTCTCTGCCTCTCCCCTGCACATGCTGTCTCTGTCTCTCTCAAAACAAATAAGTAAAGTTTAAGACAAAATTAAAAAAAAAAAAAAAAGAAGAACCATAGTTCTCCATCAGAAAATATTGGTCCGGTTTCCCCGAGGATAGAGCAAAACTTACAATGTGAGGTGCTGTCCCCCCCAGACTCACTTTCTGGTCAAAACTATGTGTCGGTAGTGTTCTCCCTCTGATATTCTCACCTTGACTTTCAAGCACCTTGTGCAGCTTCATATGCTTGTAGGTAGAGATTATCTGAAAATTAACGACACTTGGGACACTCAGTCCTTGGTCCTGCAGCAGCTTCAGGGCTGCGGCATGAATGAGCTGATGGGACCGTTTGCATTTCTGAAGTCTGCACTCCCCTCTGACAAAGGACTTGCACACGTGAAACTTGTTGCACTTCTCCTTCATGTTGCAGTAGCCATGCAGCGCTTCCCCTTTGTTGTACAGCAAACACACCTGGCACAGAAATGAAGCAACACTTGACACGTTTGGTTGCACCGTCATTTACGGCAGTTGATGAAAGAAAAAAAAATTATTTTTACGATTTTAGTTTTAAGTCATTTCTACACCCAACGTGGGGCTCGAACTCACAACCCTGAGACCAAGAGTCACACGCTCCACTGACTGAGCCAGCCAGGCACCCTGAGAAAACATTTCTGTAAAAGAAGTGTGATCAGCAGAGACTTGGGCCATCATATGTTAAAATATAAACTAACTAAACAGTATGACACTGGTTCAGGGATGTATAGGAGATCAAGAAAAAGAGATCCTATACCTAGCCTCAAAATAAAAATATTCCTTAAAGATTTGATAGAGCTCAACAATAAAACTGTATGAGCCTCATGTTTTCTTAAAAAATTTTTTTTAACGTTTTTATTTCTTTTTGAGACAGGGAGAGACAGAGCATGAACAGGGGAGGGTCAGAGAGAGGGAAACACAGAATCTGAAACAGGCTCCAGGCTCTGAGCTGTCAGCACAGAGCCCAACACGGGGCTCAAACTCACGGACCGCGAGATCATGACCTGAGCCGAAGTCGGCCACTTAAATGACTGAGCCACCCAGGCGCCCCAAGCCTCATGTTTTCTTCTAGAAGACTTTTTAACTAATATGTGGTTCCGTGCGATTTTAAATTTTTTATCTTTTTTTAAAAAATGTTTATTTATTTATTTGGGGGGGCACAGAGAGAGGGAGAGAATGAATCCCAAGTAGGCTCTGTGCTGCATAGGGCCCAACTCGGAGCTCGATCTCACAAACTGAGATCACGACCTGAGCCAAAATCAAGTCAGTCACTTAACTGACTGAGCCACTCAGGCACTCCTAACTTTTTTATCTTAATGCTTTTGTTGTTCAAAAATAAACACTATTCTGGCTTTCTGTATTTTCTTAAAACAGTTTTTTAATGTTTATTTATTATTATTAGTTTAATGTTTATTTTTGAGAGGGAGATAGAATGTGAGAGAGAGAGAGGGAGACACAGAATCCGAAGCAGGCTCCAGGCTCCGAGCTGTCAGCACAGAGCCCAACGTGGGACTTGAACTCATGAACCACAAGATCACGACCTGAGCTGAAGTCAGACGCTTAACCGACTGAGCCACCCAGGTGCCCTATTTATTATTTTTGAGGGAAATAAAGTGATCAGGCGAGGGGCAGAGAGAGAGAGGGAAAGAGACAGAGAGTCCCAAGCAGGCTCCACACTGTCAGTGCAGAGCCTGATGCAGGGCTTGAACCCACGAACAGTGAGATCATGACCTGAGTGGAAATCAAGAGTCAGACGCTCAACCGATGGAGCCACCCAGGCAACCTGAAACCATTTGGATGAGTCATATTTTTTTCTAGAAATGTGTCCATTTCATTGAAGTTTTCAAATGTATTAGTATCACATTATACGTATTTCCAATGTGTGTTTCTTTCAACACCACCAAGTAATTCTCAGAGGACAATGACCAGATGTCCCACAGATTTGAACTCCCCCCGAATACTGTCTACCCGGACATAGCGGCAGATCCCACAGGTTAAGGGCTCAGTCTCACGAGGCTGCCCCACTTCAAATGCCCATCTGTTGCTGCCTGAACTGCTATAAAGGTCATCACCACCTCCTCCTCCAGTTAATGTGCCAGAACAGCTCACAGGAGTCAGATGACCACTTTATTATAAAATGATATAACCCGGGAACACGCAGGTAGAAGAGCCACATGTGGAGAGGTGAGGGGAGAAAAGGTGTGGAGCTTCCATACCCTCTCCTGGGGCCTCACTCTCCCAGCACCCTCCGTGTGCTCACCACCCTGCACGCTGTCTGGAGGTCTGTCCTTTTGGGTTTTTATGGAAACTTCATAACACAGGCATGATCGATTACATCATGGGCCACTGGTAAATGAACTCCATCCCTAGGCCCCTCTGCCTTCCCAGGGGGTGGAAGAGTGAGGGGGAGGGGATAAAAGTTACAACTCTCAGGGCGCCTAGGGGGCTCAGATGGTTAAGCATTCGACTCTTGGTCTCGGCTCAGGTCATGATGTCACAGTTCATGGGGTTGAGCTCCGCGCTAACAGCACGGAGCCTTCTTGGGAACCTCTCTCTCCCTCTCCCTCTCTGCCCCTCCTCTGTTCACACAATCTCTCTCTCTCTCTCTCTCTCTCAAAATAAATAAATAAAGTTAAAAAAAAGTGTTGGGAAAAAAAAAAAGTTGTTCTCCTGACAGCCAGCTCCCGTCCTTAGGTTACCAAAGGGCTTTCCAAAAATCACTTAACAACAGACACCTTGAGAGCTCTCATCATGTAGGAAATTCCAAGGGTTTTAGGAGCTCTATGTCGGGAATGAGGATGAAGACCAAAAATATAGTTATCATTATAACCATAAGATCACAATGTTTGTCCCTATCGTCTTTTTATTACGTGATGTATCTGTTCCTGTGTACTGTGTCTTTAGGAGAGTGGTGGAAAGGGGTCATAGCCATTTCCATACAAGAGATGTGGGGCACCATTCCTGATTCCTCCGTGGTCCCCGCTACCAAAGTGGCCATGCTGCGTGTCACAGGATACATACCTCCAGTGCTGGGTGACAGGACCAGGGGTGGGCTCCTGTCCCAAGTGCAGCCAGCCCACTGGCTGCTCACAAAACACTGCGGTAGTCGGGTATGACAAGCAGGCATAAGCCATAAGGAAACGGGCTCAATAAGTTCAACAATGTAACAATGTTAAACATCTGTAAGTCAAACAATATGGTAAAAACTAAAAGGCTGGGGCGCCTGGGTGGCTCAGTAGGTTGAGAATCCGACTTCGGCTCAGGTCATGATCTCACAGCTCGTGGGTTCGAGCCCCACGTCGGGCTCTGTGCTGACAGCTCAGAGCCTGGAGCCTGCTTCGGATTCTGTGTCTCCCTCTCTCTCTCTCAAAAATAAATAAACGTTAAAAAAAAATTTTTTTTTTAACTAAAAGGTAACTAGAAGTGTCGCCAACCCTTCTCTCTCAGAGAGGAAGGACTGGACTGGACCCCCGTTACTGCCATTCTCTTCTCCCTTCCTGCCAATAACCTGCTCCAGCTGCGGCTCTGGGTCCTTTTGGCAACATCGTTGGAATGTATCTGGCTTATAACCATGACTGATCAAGTCTGGCTTCAAAGCCCAAAGAAGTGAGAAAGGAGATGTGGATGCCAAGAATAAACCCCGTGGCTAAGGCTGACTCCAGTGCTGCCTTCCACATACAGATTCTACTGCCTTGAAGGCGGCCTTTGCCATCTCACCAAAGGCTCCAGCTCATACCTCCAAACTTGTGACTTCCTTCCCTTCTCGACCCTGAACTACCTTAGCATTAACGGGGCACCACACTCACAAACTACCCTCCGGTTTCCCAACATCCCCCCTTCTTCCCACCCCACCCCTCTTCTGGCAACTTGAATGTCTACGACAGCATCAGTGCTAGAGTAGAAAATTCTACTTTTCACTGGTGGGCTCTTATAATATTTTCTTTGGGGATTCCAACTGTTTTGTTTTCAAAAAGTCTTTGTGTATAGCTAAACAGATACAAATATGCTAATTTCACCATGACAGCAGTTCTAATGGGCACTGGTTAAACATTTGGAACTAAATCATTTCAAAGCAATTAAAATTGGTATCTAAAGCCCCAAGAAAGTAAATGGGGGAGGATACTTTCACCAAACGTGACCACAAAAGGGACCTGTATCATTACAGACATCTAATAGGGGCACCTGGGTGGTTCAGTCGGTTAAATGTCTGACTCGTGATTCAGCTCAGGTCATGATCTCATAGTTTCGTGAGTTCGAGCCTCAAGTTGGGCTCTGCACTGAAAGCATGGAGGCTGCTTGGGATCCTCTCTCTCTCTCCCTCTCTCCCTCTCTCTCTCTGCCTCTCCTCCACTTATACAACCCCCCCCCCATAAATAAACTTAAAAAAAAAGACACCTTATCAATTAATAGGAAAACAAATGCCTCAACAGAAAAATAGGCAAAAGCATAAACAGGCAATTCACAAAACACAGGCTTCATAGACAGACGTAAATTTAAATCTGCTATGTACTATGTGACCTTGAGCAAGTTACTGTAGCTGAGTCTCAGTTTCCTCACCTGTAAAACGGGGACACGTTTAATGAGCTAAGATATGTGAATGACTTAGCCTTCAGTAAGCAATCAAAAAACTAGTGGCTAAGAGCGCCTGGGTGGCTCAGTTGGAGCCTCCAACTCCTGGTTTCAGCTCAGGTCATGATCTCTGAGTTCGTGAGTTTGAGATCTCTCAAATGGCGCAGAGCCTGCTTGGGACTCTCTGTCTCTGTCTCTGTCTCTGCCCCTCCCCCACTTGCTCTCTATCTCTCTCAAAAAAATAAAAATAAAATAAACTAGTAGCCATTTTCGTTATTTCTTTACCACACGCATCCATCACTCCTTGTGGATCAAAGCCTAAAATCACAGAGACTGCATAAAGGTCAGCACTGCACCATAACCTCCACCCATACACCTGACCTCTACAAGGTGACTTTTGATGTTCTCGATCTCCTTCATCATGCATTCAGTATGAGGGTGAGTTCTTGGTAACTCACCTCTGGTAAAAGGCACGGGTCATTCTGTAAAAGCAGGATCCGAAGCTGGGCCTCGTTGAGGCCAAAAAGCCCATGGTTTTTCAGAACTTGGATGTTGATGGGTGTGTGGATATCATGGGAAAGGGTACAGGTAGACCTAGGAGAACACAGAGCTCTGGATCAGAGGCCCAGGTGAAGGAGCCAGTCCGCCAAATTCCTGGCCTTCGACTCACGTGTGAAGTTAAACAATTTTCCCTGAACCCAAAGATACACCACAGCTAATAAAGCCAGCACTAATAATAAAAAAGCCGAGTGGAAGCCACTCTCCTCCCAAGGTCACTTGCATTTTAAATCGGGATGCCTGAAAGCCAGCCAAAGGCACCCCCTGCCCCAGTCACCTGCCTCGATGCCTTCTGTTGTTGGCCGGAAGGTGACTGACCGTACTTCTCCACCCCGAACAGCTGCCCACCCCCCACAGTCCACCGACGTTGGGAGTGAAGTGTGCCGCTTTGGGGAGCCTGAGTGAACCAAGGATGAACAGAGGCCTCAGAACACCGCCCTCGGTTTCCTGGGGGTCATTCCAGATGGGGCTTTCTAAACCCGGTGAGCACCGACTCACTTGGGTAAAACTTTGAGGTTACGTGCAAAGAAAGGAAGGGCACTCTCGATAAAGGGTCCGAGGACCTCATAGGTCCGCAAAAGCCCCCCAGTAGGGCCACCGCAGTAAACGAACTCAAAAGTCCCAGTCCGGATTTCCCGCGGCCGCGCCGCGAAGGTTTCCGCGGGCAGGGGCTGGACTCCGGGGGGCGAGCAGCGGTGAAGAAATCCCGACCGATCGGGACGACTTCGGGCCTCGCTCCGCGTCGGAGCTGGAAACGCAGGGGGGCCCCCCTCCCCCACCCCCGAGGACGCCGCGGGGGCCCCTTCCCGGGCCTTCCCTTCCGCTCTCCGACGGCGGGGCGGGGTGCACCCCCCGAACGCGCGATCCCTTTTCTCCTTCCCCCGGGGCCCCGCTCCCCCGCCGCCCGCCTCACCAGCAGTCGCGGTTCGGGCACTTGCCCAGCATGTGGCGGCGGCAGAGGTGCAGCTGGTCGCAGGCCTGGCACTCGCCGCGCTGGTAGCGGGCGCACAGGCGCGCGGAGGACACGGCCACCACCCGCCAGGCGCAGGGGCCGCCGCCCGCGCCGCCCGCGCCGGCCGCCGCCTCGGCCTCGGCGTCCCA